AACATTATGGACTATGGAGATAAGGACACTCAACAAAGAGATCATATCTCGGTTACTACTGAAAAGGTCACCCCAAAGGAACAGGATATACAAGGTCAGTGTGTTGACAAGATACTGACAGTCTCAAAAGAAATGGACTCAAAAGAAAAACACAAAGTCTTGCTGAAACGTCACAGACAGTTTGGTCATGTGTCTGCTGAAAAACTACAGAGGCTTTTGACTAGCTCAGGCAATACAGATATAGAATGTAACAAAATCCTACAGAAGATCATTAGTGAATGTGAAATCTGTCAGAAATACAGCAAAGCTAAACCAAAACCTGCTGTTGGCCTGCAATTGGCATCTCAGTATAATGAAACTGTTGCAATGGATCTGCATGAACTTGAGCCAGGTGTATGGTATCTTCACATTATAGACCAGTTCACACGCTTCAGTGCAGGCAGCATTCTGACCACAAAGAAGTCACCTGTAATAGTGAAACACTTTATTCACAACTGGATAAGTGTACATGGGCCACCTCAGAAACTGTTCAGCAATAACGGAGGAGAGTTCAACAATGAAGAGATGAGAGACATGGCAGAGAACTTCAATACAGAAATAAGGACGACAGCAGTATACAGTCCCTGGAGCAATGGACTTTTGGAGTGACATAACCAAACACTTTCAGAGATCGTAATGAAGGTAATGGCTGTGATTGGGACACTGCATTGGACTGGGCTTTGATGGCAAAGAATACCATGCAAAATGTACACGGCTACAGTCCCCATCAGTTGGTGTTTGGACAGAACCCCAACTTGCCCTTTGTACTGACTGACATGCCACCAGCTTTAGAGGGCACCACAAAAAGTGAATGGGTGGCAAAATGCATTTCAGCTTTGCATGCATCAAGAAAGGCTTTCACGGAGGCTGAATGTTCAGAAAGGATCAGGAGAGCACTGAGGAAGCAGCTGCGTCCCACAGATGAAAAGTATGAGATGGGTGACAAAGTGTACTACAAGAGAGCTGACTGTCCGGAGTGGAAAGGACCAGGAGTGGTCATCGGCCAGGATGGTGCAGTAGTGTTTATCAGACATGGAGGCACCTGCATTAGGGTACACTATCTCAGACTAAGAAAAGTGAATGCAGAAAGTAATGATCAACATGCATTCAAGGAGTGTGCTGGAGATGATACAGACATTGTGAAAAGGCAGGAAATGGCAGAGGCTGCCACCAGCAGCATGGAAGGCGCAGAAACTGGAGATGGGGCTCATCACAGTTTAATGCCTGATCCACGCAAAAAAACAACTACCGAGGAGGAAAATGAAGCAGCACAATCATCGGATAATGCCATAGGAACACTAAATATCACAGGACAAGAAAGTGGTGTTCGCCTGAAAACAGGTCAGATTCTAAAATACAAAGATAGAGACACTGGGACTCTGCACACAGCAAAAGTACTAGGGCGTGCAGGTAAAGCTACAGGGAAATATAAAAACTGGTACAATCTGCACTCTCAAGGAATCCCCCACTGGACTAGTACCAAAAGCACGGTTAGTGGCAAGGGGTTTTGAGGAGCTAGATGTGTCAGAGTTACAGAAGGATTCCCCAACATGTGCTGCTGAGTCTCTGACTGCTTGTGGCAGTAATCTGTCAAAACCAATGGACACTAAATTCCATGGATATAAAATGTGCATTTCTACAGGGAACTGAACTATCACATGGGTAGCAAGACAGACCTGGCCAGATGTTATATTTGATGCTAGCAACATGGCATCGAATATCAAAAATGCAACTGTGCAGACTATTCATGAGGCAAACAGGATAGTTTGCAAATTGAAGTCCAAAAAGGTGACTCTGAACTTCCAACACTTGGGCAAAGACAAAGCTCTTAAGATGATTGTGTTCAGCGATGCCTCATTTGGAAATCTTTCAGAGGCTGGCACTCAAGGAGGACATCTTATTCTTCTAATGAGGGAAAATTGGAAGTTCTCACCCCTTACCTGGCAGTCTAAGAGAGTCAAAAGGATTGTGAGGAGCACACTTGCGGGTGAAACACTGGCAATGTCTGATGGAATGGACAATGCTGTTTTTCTGACCACACTGTTCTCAGAACTAACTGCTGGTGATACTGAACATGCTCCACCAATTATCTGCATGACGGACAATCATTCACTTGTGGATGCTCTTCAATCTACAAAGTCAGTCTCTGAGAAAAGACTTTGGAGATAAGTAGCATTAAAGAACTTGTCCAAGCACAGAAAATTGAGTGAGTATTGTGCCTTACCAAAAAGGGAGCACCAGCCTACCAGTTACTTAAGGCATTGAATGATGGGCAATGGAAGCTGGACTGAAAAAAAACAATAAAAAGGTCATAAACAGGACTCTTGTTCAAATGTCATGTTACGAGTCCTATTGCAGAAATGACAGGTAAATCTAAAGGGGAGATTATTATTATTATTATTATTATTTTATTTTTCATCTTGAAAGAAAGCGATGTGTTCATGTACATGTTTATATGTAAATGTTTACGAGTACAGTATTCCGTTTAGGCTTTTATTGTGAAAACACGGGTAGGTCGGGAAGCAGGGTGCGCATGTGTGGTGGTGAAGATGGCAGAAAAAGAATAAAGTTCGACGTTGAGCAAAGAAAGTGTATCATACTGTTTAACAGATACAAGTGCAAAAAGGGTCATTTAAGTAACGTAGATGAGAGACGTTAGCCACGATAGCCTTACACACACACACACACACACACAACACTTTCCGTCATGACTCAGGAAGGTTAGCTGACTGTGGCTAACTTGTAGCAGAGATCCTGTTGACGAGAGCAACAGACTAAAACAGAATCTATACGCTGATCAGAGTGCTTGGTTTTCTGTGTTGAAGAGAGATTATTTGTGGCTGCTGAGTGAATAGTGTGTGAATTCAACTTTACTCAGTCCTTTCCTGTTGGGGAGCTAAACCTAGCTAGCTGATGTCAACAAAACTGTGCACATGAATCAGTTTCTGAGGTGCAGGTTTGTCGTTATTCCGGTTCAACTGTTTTACTTTGTACCTAAAAATATGGATGATGTGTTTAAGCAATTTTGTATTTGAAAAGGAAAACACAGTAAATCCTTGGTTGACAACATAGCCAGCAAATGTGTTGACAATTCAGACCATAATATGAGTGTAGCAAACAGGATAGTTTGCAAATTGAAGTCCAAAAAGGTGACTCTGAACTTCCAACACTTAGGCAAAGACATAGCTCTTAAGATGATTGTGTTCAGCGACACCTCATTTGGAAATCTTTCAGAGGGTGGCACTCAAGGAGGACATCTGATTCTTCTAATGGGGAAAAATTGGAAGTTCTCACCCCTTACCTGGCAGTCTAAGAGAGTCAAAAGGATTGTGCGGAGCAGATTTGCGGGTGAAACACTGGCATTGTCTGATGGAATGGACAATGCTGTTTTTCCCGCCACACTGTTCTCAGAGCTAATTACTGGTGATACTGAACATGCTCCACCAATTATCTGCATCACGGACAATCATTCACTTGTGGATGCTCTTCAATCTACAAAGTCAGTCTCTGAGAAAAGACTTCGTTTGGAGATAAGTAGCATTAAAGAACTTGTCCAAGCACAGAAAACTGAGCAAGTACTGTGGCACAACACAAATAAACAGCTTGCAGACTGCCTTACCAAAAAGGAAGCACCAGCCTTACTTACGGCATTGAATGATGGACAATGGAAGCTGGACTACAAAAAAAAATAAAAAGGTCATAAACAGGACTCTTGTTCAAATGTCATTTTACGAGTCCTATTGCAGAAATGACAGGTTAATCTAAAGGGGAAATTATTATTATTATTTTTTTTTCCATCTTAAAAGAAAAAGTGAATTTGTTAAGATCCATACATTAAGATGTGTTCATGTACATGTTTATATGTAAATGTTTACGAGTACAGTATTCTGTTTAGGCTTTTATTGTGAAAACACGTATAGGTCGGGAAGCGGGGTGCGCATGTGTGGTGGTGAAGATGGCGGAAAAAGAATAAAGTTCGATGTTGAGCAAAGAAAGTGTATCGTACTGTTTAACACAAAGTCCTCTTTTCAGATGAGAACAAGTTTTGTATTTCATTTGGAAACCAAAGTCCTAGAGTCTGGAGGAAGGGTGGAGAAGCTCATAGCCCAAGTTGCTTGAAGTCCAGTGTTAAGTTTCCAGAGTCTGTGATGGTTTGGGGTGCAATGTTCTGTTTATCAAGACATTTTAGAGCACTTCATGCTTCCTTCTGCTGACCAGCTTTTTGGAGATGCTGATTTCATTTTCCAGCAGGATTTGGCACCTGCCCACACTGCCAAAAGCACCAAAAGTTGGTTAAATGACCATGGTGTTGATGTGCTTGACTGGCCGGCAAACTTACCAGGCCTGAACCCCATAGAGAATCTATGGGGTATTGTCAAGAGGAAAATGAGAGACCAAAAAATGCAGATGAGCTGAAGGTCACTGTCAAAGAAACCTGGGCTTCCATACCACCTCAGCAGTGCCACAGACTGTTCACCCCCATGCTATGCTGAATTGAGGCAGTAATTAAAGCAAAAGGAGCCCCTACCAAGTACTGAGTACATATACAGTAAATGAACATACTTTCCTGAAGGCCAACAATTCACTAAAATTGTTTTTTATAGGTCTTATGAGGTGTTCTAATTTATTGAGATTGTGAATTGGTGGGTTTGTTAAATGTGGGCCAAAATCATCACAATTAAAAGACCCAACGGCTTAAACTACTTCAGTCTATGTGTACTGAATTAATATAATACACAAGTTTGCCTATTTGAGTTGAATTACTGAAATAAATGGACTTTTCCACGATATTCTAATTTATTGAGATGCACCTGTATATGCAGCATTGTGGAACTGATTTGTATTCATTTATGGTGTCTTGTAAGCCCATATAGATCATGTGGTACTTATACAAAGCAATTTTGTTCAATTATTTATACAACTGAGTTCATTTTCAGTTCATTATGCTGACACAAACTAACCTTAACATAATCTTCAAGTCTGGCCTTGTTCACAGCGAGATCTAGTGTCAGGGCCTTAAGTCCAGATGGTTCTTCCTCATGAGGAACATTTCATGTTGACCCTGTGCAGAAAAAACGGACATGGAACATAAGATTTTATAAAAGGCTACTAGGCCATGGCAAATGTTTGTCATAATTAATTGGAAAATCCTGTAAATTACATTAACATTTAATTATAGAGTCTATAAAAAGTAGTTTAATTTAACTCCATTCATGAAATGCAGCATTTCATTGCCCTAACATACCAGATTGTAAGTCAGTTTAACTTCAGCTAAATAAATATCAATATCCAGAAAGGCATGTCTAAATTTTGCCCTCTGAAATTCATTTAATTTAAATAGATAATGGGCTGCTTCTGGTTTCAAATTATATTTTGCAGCTATTTTGCTACAACAGAGCTATAACAAAAAATGGAATAAAGTTTCACCTCATAAAATGTATTTGGCTCATATTAGCACCCGGCTACATATTTTCTCATCTAGCAGACAGGGGGCGACACTATCATTAATTTGTTGTGTGGTTGTGTTAATGTGCAACCTGAAGAATCTAAGCCAATATATCCTCTCTTTTAATTTTCTTTTCCCTAACTTTGTGTGTCAGCTGCTTGGTGCAGCAGCCAGTTTACAGTGGGTTTATCGAAGCTTTGTTAACTGAATACAACAGTTTTCACTGCTGGAAAACAGGATTGATGAGTTTGGTGAAAATGAATGAAAACAGTGAAGCTGCAAACAGTAAATCCAAAACAACAAGCTAGAAGATGCTAAAATACTCTGCAGACTTCAGGGGAATTGCAAAGTCAGGTGATACTTCTCTGTGGGTTTGTCACTACAAAAGGCCTTGTTCACATAACAAGTATTCATTTCTTGTCCACTGCTGATAAACAACAACTCTGATTATTCTAGGTGACATTAATTCTACAATGAACAAAAATCAACTAAGCAAGAACACAGTCTAGAGTTTCAAACATTTAAAGAGCACATGGCGCTTTTCCTTGTTTCCAGACTTACCTACAATGTTACAATGGTGAATTATCATGTTAGACGTGTCTGTGCAGATTCTCAGTCATCCAGGTCATAGTAAACTGAAAAAACCTTAGAAAAAATTAACTGGACTTCTGGATTTCTAGATCGAAGACATTTCACCTCTCATCCAAGAGGCTTCATCAGTTCTGGCTGACTGGTGTTGAGCCGGAGATATTTATCCCCCTCGGTGTGGTTTCAGTCCTTTCTAAGGTTTTTTCAGTATCATGTTAGACATGACCTAAAGGAGAAGTTCAAATGAATTAATGCTGTTGTGGTTCGTTGTGCTTTCCACTTTCATATTCTGGCTCGAACTTGTCAGGCAGGATTTGAGATAATGTCACTATCAAAAACGTAGCTTATTTGTCAAAGTTTTTTTATTTATGCGTTGTCCTGGCTTCCTGACCGGGTTTGTGTTGAAAATTGTTCCACTGTCTAGATGTGTTCCGCCTGTTTCTCGGTTTCACGTGGCAGCCCCCTCAGTGGCTGTGCTTAGGATAATGTTAGGATTCAGGTTAGGGGAAACATCTCGATGGGGAAACAGATTTCAACGCAATACCGGCAAGAGGAGTTGTGCACATTCACGAACTATCCTCTCCTTTTTAGGAACAGGCTCTCTGGTTTTATTGTTCTGAAATAATTACAGAATATTTGGAGTTATGAGGGATGCAAAGCTAATCTAGAGGTACCCAAGATTAAACATTAAATGGCTGGAAATGAGAAAAATGAGCAGCCATGGGCTCTTTAACAAGAATTACCACTTTGTGGTTGTATACCTCACACAACTAGTCAAATTCACTGGAATGGACAAAGAGCACAATGGTCCCAGCCACAGCTATTTCCAGCCCAGAGGTATAGAAATATTCAGAACAGTTCCTTCCAATGTCGGACACTTACACACTGATCTTGGTACTGGGGTAGTTTATTTGGGAAGAACTGGTTGATTTTCAACATGGTGTCCTCGGCCCTCCCTGAGCATCCACATCACAACCTGGCAGGGGAGACAGTGACCAAGAGAAAGGGACAGATCAACAGAAAGCAGTGGAAATAGACATTTAAGTTGAAGATATACAGTGGGTATGGAAAGTATTCAGACCCCCTTAAATTTTTCACTCTTTGTTATATTGCAGCCATATGCTAAAATCATTCAAGTTCATTTTTTTCCTCATTAATGTACACACAGCACCCCATATTGACAGAAAAACACAGAATTTTTGACATTTTTGCAGAATTATTAAAAAAGAAAAACTGAAATATCACATGGTCATAAGTATTCAGACCCTTTGCTGTGACACTCATATATTTAACTTAGGTGCTGTCCATTTCTTCTGATCATCCCTGAGATGGTTCTACACCTTCATTTGAGTCCAGCTGTGTTTGATTATACTGATTGGACGTGATTAGGAAAAGCCACACACCTGTCTATATAAGACCCTACAGCTCACACTGCATGTCAGAGCAAATGAGAATCATGAGGTCAAAGGAACTGCCTGAAGAGCTCACAGACAGAATTGTGGCAAGGCACAGATCTGGCCAAGGTTACAAAAAAAAATTCTGCTGCACTTAAGGTTCCTAAGAGCACAGTCGCCTCCATAATCCTTAAATGGAAGACATTTGGGACGACCAGAACCCTTCCTAGAGCTGGCCATCCAGCCAAACTGAGCTATCAGGGCAGAAGAACCTTGGTGAGAGAGGTACAGAAGAACCCAAAGATGACTGTGGCTGAGCTCCAGAGATGCAGTCGGGAGATGGGAGAAAGTTGTAGAAAGTCAACCATCACTGCAGCCCCCC